CCTATTAATCAAGATCATATTTTCCACCACTATCATCATAAAGAAGAGATTTAATGAAGAATAAATTTATGCTAATAATTAGAAAAACATCCCTATGAGAAAATACAATAAATTAATGCTACCAAGAAAACTAAAATGAAAGATTTTTATTATGAGATTAAGCTCCATCCTGGCCAGAAGAGAAATTACATGACTTTTCAAAATCTTCCATTTAAAAAATAATAGTCTATGGGAAACAAAAAGAGATTTGGTTTCAAATATTATACTTTATCTTGTAACCTATTTTCCCCATTTGTAATTTCATATAGGCACTACTTTCACGTCACCCAGTCCTAAAGCAGATTAAAAACAGAAATGTAGTCTTATATCCTCTCCTAAGCCATCCTTATTTTGTTATTTTGTTATTTATTTATTTATTTATTGAGACAGAGTCTCACTCTGTTGCCTGGGCTAGAGTGCCATGATGTCAGCCTAGCTCACAGCAACCTCAAACTCCTGGGCTCAAGCAATCTTTCTGCCTCAGCCTCCTGAGTAGCTGAGACTACAGGCACGTGCCACCACGCCAGGCTAATTTTTTCTATTTTTAGTTGTTTGGCTAATTTCTTTCTATTTATAGTAGAGACAGGGTCTCACTCTAGCTCAGGCTGGTCTCGAACTCCTGAGCTCAAGCAATCCTCCCGCCTCAGTCTCCCAGAGTCCTAGGATTACAGGTGTGAGCCACCACGCCCGGCCCTAAGTCATCCTTATTAACATTGTATCAGCACCAGGAAACCAGTAAAATAATATCTTATTGAAATGTCATAAATTTTCTCAGTTCCTAAAAATATTGTGGGAGTTTATAAGATCCAAGAAAAACAAACAGTATAAAGATGTAAGTTCACCCCAATTTAGGTTTAATAAAATTATAAACAAAACGATTAATTGACTTTGTAAAAAATTTAACCAATGAACCTAACGTTCATCTGCAAAATCAGACATATTAGTTAACGAAACTGTGAAATGGAATTGCGAGTAGGTATTGCATTTTAGAGAGTATACAGCACTACAAACGTACATATACATGTGTATAGCCCTACAACAAAAAAAGTAATACAGTAATGCTGCAAGAATAAGACCCAGATATACTAGCTATTTACGTGGTTTTAAATTTTATATTATATAGTCTTTTGAGAATTTAATAAAAGCTATAATGTTTTCCCCAGAAAAATGCAAATATGTGGACTCACATAAAATCATATACATTAAGAGATCCCTGGAACTCTTTTAAGCTTATTTACAGAATCCTTAGAAGATAATGGACCCAGCTTAAATATCCCTAGTAAATGGGCCATAATTGTTTGCTCAAACCTAACATATAAGTTATATAAAAGAAACAACCAAAGCAATAAAAAATGGATCAACATAAAATTCTGAGAAAACTAGGTATTTGGAAAAAATGAAAACTAGCAACCCATCTTTACACATAATATGTCAAAATATATACATATTAAAATTTCCAGGAAAAAATAAAGTTCTAGAAAAAAATAAACGAAATAAACTAATAAATAATATTTTCTAAGCAGAAAAGAACTGAAAGAAATCACAAATGAACAAGATGGTACATTTCACTACATAAAAATGGAAAACTTATGAACACATAGAATCATAATTTAAACAATTTAAAAGGTAATAAACAAAAAAATAGGTTGAATATAACTCAAAAAAGTACTGCAAGAAATATGAAAGCTAAAGGCTAATATCCATAAATAGCTCTTACCAACAAATAAGAAAAACATTAACACACACCATAGAAAAATACTCAAAAAATCCTCAAACTGCTAATTCACAAAAAAAATGAGAATATGCATATATAAACATTAACAAATTCAACTTCATTAGTTATCAAAAAAAAGTTAAAGAGCTACTATTTTTCACCTATCTAATTGATGGTGGTGTGGAAAATTCTTTTCAAGAAAATTAAGCTTTTATCAATTTTGCAAATTACTTTAAAAAACCCTTTGAAATTGTAGTTTCAAAGAAATATTCTGAAATATAGATCATGACTTATGTACAAGAATGTTCACTATAGCTTTATTTATAGTAAAGAAATGAGCAACAAACCAAATGGTCAACAAAAAAGAAAGGTTTAATAAGTCATAGTACATTCTTCCTAGAAATAATAATTTGTAGCTATTTAAAACAAATATTTGATCATTTAGGATATTTTCAGGATACACTATTGTGTAGCCAGTAAAAAACATATGTTAGAGGAACAATAAAATGGAAAAATATTCATAATACTAAATTTAAAAAGCAGGAATGAAATTATGGTACCAATGAAAAACTAATTCATAAATAGCTTAATAAACTTTTATAGATTAATAAACCATGGAAAAGTGAAGTCACAAAAATCACAAAAACATTTAATGTGGTTATTTGTAAATGTTGCTAATTAATTTTCAACATTTTTCGAATGTTCTATAATGAATAAGTTAAAAATAAATATATTTATCACATATTCAAATCATATTTTAAAGATTTTAAATAACTTCAGTAACTCAATCTTAATATTTATATACGCTGGGTATGTGTCAAAATTTTGTACCATCATAACTACCAAACTAAAATTTCAAAATATGCTTATTGACAGATTACTAATGAACAGATAATTAATGTTATTCAGACAATTCATTAATCTTAGTAAATTTATAATGTTATATTTGCCTTGTAAGAAACATGACAGCAAAATTGTCCTATTTACACTGGATAAATATTTATACATTATACATTATTATGTTCTTCAGCAAATAGCTTTTACAACCTTCAGTATTAACCTAAGAAGCAATCATCTGTATATTCAAATGAAAACGTAAGCTTAAATAGATAAACCAGACTATTTCATTTTTCCGTAAGTGAAAAGTATACCATACTCTAAGATTAACTTTCTGCTTAACCTAAATATTTGTGTATATACACATACATAAGCATATAGAAAATTTAGCACATTTTTAACTCTAAAACACCTGAAATAGCACGTGAAGAGAGAGGCTGCTGGGTAACCAACCCAGAAGTATTTAAGGGGCAAAATTACACAACTGCTCTCTAAATATATTTCTGTGTAGAAGACTTCAGAGGTTAAGGAATTACATCAGGACAAATAAAGATTCTGTTGAGGAAAAAAAGAATCTTTCCTACAACTTCATTCTACCTCAGATGTGATGTCATTTTAAAATCCACCAACCAGAAGTATTACTTTCAATTACATCTAGTTACTGTTTACTAACGGTTTTTGCTTTAGGAAATAAAAATGTCCCTAAACTAACCAAGATTATAAAAGCAACAGTCACTTCTTCATTTGACAGTAGACTGACTCAAACTTACGAGTTATATAACCAACCAAGAAACCAATTGTTGTATATATGAACCACAGATGAAGTTTATGAGAAACATTTACAAGCTTCTTGCCTAGTAAGAAACAATTTGCACAATGTGAGAATCATATCAAATCTTATATAACTTCCCCCAGATGTGTTATATAAGAATATAGTAACACTACCATTTTTAACCAAAATAATCAGTAGCATATTTGTAATTACCTTCTTTAAGAAACTAACACCAGGAGAACACTTAAAATTAAAAAGTCAAGCATAACTATTGTATCTTATACACATATATATGGTGCAATGTTTAAATATATATAGAGATATATATCTCAACAGTTTTTTTTTACTGATGGTTCCTTGATTCCCTCATAAGGGCCACAGTGTAATTTGGTGTTCTTTGTACAATTCTTCATCAGAAAAATGTACCAAGTATTATATTACATATATCATGGCAAACAAAAATGCTAAGAAAATGAATTGATTAATTTAAAGAGTAACATTAATTATCTAACTGAAGCATCAGGGGACAAGTGATCAAAGGGACTGAAAACATATGAGATTCAAATGCTCACAAACATACAAACTGATTAAAATTAAAACTTGGTTGACTTAAGATCAAATATTTTTTTAAAAATACCCAAACAGAATCAGATTTCATTTCAAATTACACTGTAATTCCTTCCACTGCCTCCCCGCCTCCCACCTAATATTTCCAAATTAAAATTGTTTTGTAAACATTTCATACATCCGTGATAACAGAACTGGTAAAAACAGGGTTAAAAATGTATTTCCACACATGCAGTTCAAATAAATGCACTTCCCGTGAGAATACCACTAGGTGCTGATCTTTACCTCCCTACATATAAACCTGAATCCAGCAATACTCTAAAAGTGAAATTATAATCAAGAACCACGAGTGACAATCCTTTTTACAGAAAATTAAGTCACAGCTTCTAAAAAAATCGGAGAAACAGAGAAGGGCTAGAGGTCAGTACAGGAGTCTAACATAACAGAAACGTTTTTCTTGAAAAATGTGAGAATTGGGGAATAACAAAATGAAACCCTTCAAGAACGAGCAAAATTAAATCTAGAACCCAAATGGCGTCCGACAAGAACATTAGATCTTGAAAATGAATATTGCGCTTGCGCAGCCACCGCCCCGCCAGCTGCACAACTGCAGCTAGAGCCCGACCCCGCAAAATCACGTGCTCCCATGCAGCGCCGCCCGCAGCTCCGCAGCCGCGCAGGCGCAAACACAACTCCCGCAGCCGCCATAATGCGGACTTGACTCTTCACAAATACAATAGTAATTTAACAAAATGTGGTTATAACAGCCCCTGGGATTCAAATATACCTTTTGGGGCGGGAGATGAGGGAGGGGGAAACCAAGTTCCTTCCTACAGAGCCGTCCCGCGGAGCCGTCCCCAACGCTGCCGCTTCAGTCTTGCGCGCTTCAGTCGCCGCGCCGCCGCTGCCACCGCCGCCGCCTCCGCAGATTCAAAAACAAACCCGCTTCTCCCTTGCACGCGTCGAGGCCGTTATGCAAATTATGGAGGCGGGGCTCGGTGATCGTAATATGTACCACGCCCACCATGCTGTCAGCCAATAAGCTCACGGACTAGCCATTTCCCCATGCAAATCTCTGGTTTTTTATTTGAATGAGGGACCTTGGCCCCGCCTCCTGCCGTGAAAAAGAGATGGTCTGAAGTGGTGGCGCTGCGCCTCTGAGTTGCAGTGCGATGTGTGTTTTTCAGTGGAGCTTCCTCAATCAGTGAGTAGCACTTTGTGAGCGCCCTCTATGAGGCTTGGAAAAGAAGAAAGGAAGTAGGTAGGTGAGAGTGAAAGGGCAGAAGGAAAGATTTTCAAAAAAGCCTAGAGCCTGTTGACTTATTCATCATTTTTACTTCTTCTAAATTCACAAAATATGTTTTTAACTGTATTAATCATGGGGAAAAGAGAAAACACATCTTTTCTTTCAGTTGGGTGACAGAGAAGGCAGTTTAAATCATACTCGCCCACCGGAAGTTGTATTCATGGCGTTGGATATCACGTTGGGAGTCAACGTTCAGGGAAGTCCACGCCCGCAGGAAGTAGTGGAGAAGTCGCCACCCGGTTGGCTGGGCGACCTGGGCTCCTACCCAGGTTCTGCAGCTGACTTGCCTATTCCTTGGAGAAAGTGTGCCGCTCACTTTTCTCACCTCTGCACTCTGCAACGGTGATAATGACTGTAGTTCAACTCAGTTGGGAGGACGAAGTGATAGAATAAATGTAAATGTGTTTTCCAAGGCAAGAAGAGCCTTAAAAAAAAAAATGTTAGGTAAGGTTTGGTTATTCGGGGTTTTTTTTAATATAATTTCTCCCTTAAATCACTGTATTCATTCAGTATCTATTTAGCAAATACCACATTCCATACCTAAGTTAGGTGCCTGTCCTCAAGAAGTCTATACTCTACTGGAGGAGACAAAAAAATAAATAGGAAATTGTTGTAAGTAATAAGAAATTAGCATAGGGTGATTAATGCTTGTTTTTATAACTTAGACCTTTCAGCTTACTTGAAATATAAGGTGGCTTTTATGAGTATCACCTAATCCAGACTTGGAGAATCATGAAAGCTTTCCTAGAAGAGGTCATCTCTAACATGAGGCTGATTTAATAAATGTCTTGACTAAAAGCTGGACTTCATTGTGAGAGCAATGGGGAATCACTTAAAAGGTTTTAGGTCAGGCTCATGCCTGTAATCCTAGCATTCTGGGAGGCCGAGGTGGACAGATCACTCGAGGTCAGGAGTTCTACACCAGCCTGAGCAAGAGCAAGACCCCGTCTCTACTAAAAATAGAAAGAAAGAAATTGGCCACCTAAAAATATATAGAAAAAATTACCCGGGAATGGTGGTGCATGCCTGTAGTCCCAGCTACTCTGGAGGCTGAGGCAGAAGGATTGCTTGAGTCAAGGAGTTTAAGGTTGCTGTGAGCTAGGCTGATGGCACAGCACTCCAGCTGGGGCAACAGAGTGAGACTCTGTCTCAAAAAAAAAAGGGGGTTTTAGGTCAGGAAATGACACAATTAGGTTTGCATTGCTTAATTTCTTTGTAAAAAGTGCTTAGCACAGAACATATTACATAGGTGCTCAACAAATTATAGATGTTCAATTATAAGTTGTTATTTATTATCATTTACTCAGTACATGTAGGTGCTCAATTTTAAATACATGCTCAGAAATTATAAATATCAATATCAATATCAAATGTTCCACTCTATAATAATAAGAGGAATATGATTAGAATAATGGAGCCTATTAGGTTTCTCTTTGTATGTCTTTAATAAGCAGAAAAAAGGAAACATTTTTGTGATAGTCTATTCTCAATGATCTATGCTAATATCAAAGGGAAAAATAATTCAGCATTAAGCTCCTGATTTATCAATTATCTTAGATACACTCATATTCTAGATTTGCCTCCTGAAGACTCCAACTGGACAGTTATATTGGATTTGAATATCTCCAGATATCCTCAACCACACCTTGACAGTCTCTTCAGCCGTGCTACCTGCTGGTTAATCTGACAAATTATTCATATATTCATTCACCAAGTGCAGTATTTGTATTGTATTCACACTCTATTCTAGACTCTAGAGATGCCTAGAGGAAATGATACTGCTTCTAATGGGGAAAGAGTCATAAATACAGATAAACATTATGAGATAATTAATATTTTGGAGGTATGAATTAAGAATAAAGGAAATCTAGGAAGGGCATGGTGGCTCATGCCTATAATCCTAGCACTCCGGGAGGCCGAGTGTGAGGAGGAAGCTCCGTGGCTAGCACGTGCTCTGGCACAGGCTTCAGAAATTGGAAGAAAAGTCAAGTGGCAACTGGCAGATGAGACATGCTTTTTATTGTTGGGGATATAGCAACAGAGAAAAGCATGTGGAGAACATGGCAAGTGCTTATATATGGCTCTGAACAATAGTGGCAACATACCATGGAAAGTGTGATCACATGGATTCACATAGGAATTAACACCTTGGTTACATAAGTATGCTGACTCATGCCTCCTCAGAAGGTTGGCTAGCTGGTGGGCTGGGCTGGTCCGGAAAAAACACTGCAGAAGTCATTTAAGTTGGCCTTAAAAAGCTATTGCCTATACAATTGCATTTTCCCTTACACTGAGGCAGGAGGATCGCTTGAAGTCAGGAGTTCAAGACCAGCCTGAGCAAGAGTGAGACACCACTGATTCTACTAAATATAGAAAAAAGAAAAAATTAGCTGGGTATGGTGGCATGCGCCTCTAGTCCCAGCTACGTCAGAGGCTGAGGTCCAGGAGTTTGAGGTTGCTGTGAGTTAGGCTGATGCCATGGCACTCTAGCTCAGGCAACAGAGCAAGACTCTGCCTCCAAAAAAAATAAATAAATAAAATAAAGGAAATCTAAAACAAGAGTACCTAAATGTTCTTCATAGCATATGGGAAATCTTCACAGAGGAAATGATACTTGACCTTTATCATGATGTAGAAATTAAAGTTGCTGTCAGACTAGGTACAAAAGAAAGAGAATTCAAGTTAGATGAAACAGAAAATGCAAACACACTGAAGAATGAAAAAGGATTGACTCTAGATTGGATAATATTCAAAATATTTATCAATCCCTATGGCACCAGGCACTGACCAGTCAGAATAGAAGCAAGCTTGAAGACCTCCTACTTTGTCAGATATTAATCTGTTAGTTTCACTGTGATGTGATCCACAGGTTCTTCATCTGGGGACTGAGACAGACAGGGATGGGGCAGCTACTTACAGGAAGAGCTAAAGAGGAATACTGAAGTTTCTGAGTACTATAAGAGAAAGCTTAATCTTTCAGGCTCTGAAGGCTTATTACCCAAATTGGAATCCTGGCTCTGCTTCTTACTTGCTTCATGTCCTGAAATGTTTTATGCATATGCTTCCCAGTCTGTGAAATGGGTATAATAAAAATAGCCCCAAACTCATAAGGTTATTATGAAGACTAAATTCTAGTAAAATACTTGGAATAATACTGAATATATAGTGACAGCTCAATAAGAATTAACCAAGAATAATAGTAGCAGTAGTACTAGTAGTAGGAGGAGGAATACAAACATAGCTCAGATTGAAGTTTGTATATGCATTTCCCACACTATCATTAAGAAAGAATATGAATCAACCACAATCTGATAATTTTTATATTGTCCTCCAATTTGCAGAGAAGCTTAATAAAGAGTTAAGCAGGCAAACCTAGGAAAACTCAACAAATAACTCTTGAGAATAGGAAGTATGGGAGTCAGAATCCTAAAATGGCCTCCATGATTCTCACCCTCTGGTATTCACACAATGTATAATCCCTTTAGCTTGAGTGTGGACGTAACCTGTAACTTGATTCTAGCCAATAGACTATAGCAAAGATGAATGAATTTTGCAGATATAATTAAGATCCAAAATAAATTGCTTTTGAGTTAACCAAAAGAGATTATCTTGAGTGGATTGAACTTAACCTGGGAAAAGCCCTTTAAAAAGGAACTGGGACCTCCCTGAGGGGAGAGATTATCTTTGCTGGCTTGATGAATAAAGCAGCCATGTTGGAGAAGCCCCTATGGAAAGTTATTAGAGGTGGCCCATAGGCTCTGTGGGTGACCTCCAGGACCTAAGAGGAGAGAACAGCCAGCAAAAAAGCAGGACCCTCGGTCACATAATCATGAAGAAATAAATTCTGCCGACAAACTGAATGACCTTACAAACAGATTTCTCACCAATCAAGCCCTCAGATGAAAATATAGTTCAGCTAACAACTTGATTATAGCCTTGTGAGACCCTGAGCATAGGATCCATCTAAGGCTTAAGCTTTTGATCCACAGAAACTATGAGATAATAATTTTGTATTGTTTGGGTACTAAATCTGTAGTAATCTGTTACTCAGCAATAGAAAAACAATACAGGCGATAATCAGAGAAGACAAAGGCCATTGCAATCATCTTCCACTATATATAGGCTAAATAAGTACGTAAAATGGTTTCCATTTTAAAAAATCATTCACTAGCATTTGCTGAAAAAGATAGAAATTGCACTTACAGCTGAGCAAAAGGAACCTCTGCCCTGGTCCCCACATTTTAAGAGAGCCCGTACATATTATAACCATATATACATACATTTAAAAGAAGGTATGGGCCATGGCACTCTAGCCAGGCAATAGAGTGAGACTCTGTCTCAAAAAAAAAAAAAAGAATATTGGGCAGCTACATTTCAATAATTTTGATTTAAAAGTTTAATATTCCTTATAGTTTATATTTTCCCACTTAGTTATAATATTTTGAACAATTATAAGAAAAACAAGTTTTAAAAAATATATATTAGGTTGGTACAAAAGTAATTGCAGTTTTAGCATTGTTGAAATTTGTCACTTAATATTGGAATACGTTCTTAAATGTGGTTATGTTTACATCATTTTAATGCACATCTCTCGATTTATATTTTTTTTGCTAATGACTTATTACTTGCTGTTTATTTTATATTTGCTTTGGACTATGGAAATGATGTTAGACAAGAAGCAAATTTGAGCAGTTTTCTTATTCGAGTTCAAAATGGGTCATCGTAAAGTGGTGGAGACAACTTGCAGCATCAACAACACATTTGGCCTAGGAACTGCTAAGGAATGTACAGTGCAGTGGTGGTTCAAGAAGTTTTGCAAAGAAGATGAAAGCCTTGAAGATGAGGAGCGCAGTGGCTGGCTATTGGGAGTTGACAACAACCTACTGAGAACAATCATT